GAACCTTCTTCCGTGCAATTTCCCCGAGAACGGTACAAGGCTGATAATCCTTTATTATTTTCAGTATATATGTGCTATGTGATGAGCCTTGTTGGGAAATTTCATGTTAGGTTTGGATAAGTGGCTATTTAACCTCGTGATTTATTCGTTAATTGTATTCGAACGTGAATTTCGCTTAAGGGCTGTGGATTATTGGAACATTTTAAGTCCTTGGCCTCATGGTTCAGGCCTTGGACGTTTTAGATGTATATGTGATCATTGATGTGTTGTTGAATCGGGTATTGCTGCTGATTCTTATAAAAATCATTGTAAATTATGTGCTCGTCCGATTGCTGTAAAATTTGAACTGTAGAGTCCTCTGTTGGTATATTATGTGCTGTAAAAATTTCAAGTCAAAATGAGATCTGTAGCTATGTCAAATGTGGATTTGAAATTCTAGGCAGAAACTTTGAAAATTCATTAAAAATCATATGTTAGGGTTTTTGCTGTGATTTTTGGTGAGTGTTAATAACTTGATGATATGTGTGTTGTGTCCAAATTTCGTTGAAAAATTCAAAGGATTGCTGTGTGAACTAGAAAGTTCATATTTTCATCGCCTTTTCATAAAAATTGGTTGTTTATGTTAAACTGAAGAGTTGAGTCTGAAACCTTGTGAAAACGTGCCTTTCTTGGTCTATTTTAATGTGTAAAAATATCAAGTAAATCGGTCGAATGAATTTTTAAATCGGTCGGTCCTATTTGAAACCCTGCTTGTCTACCGGGCCCTGTACACTGCAGCCAGCGCACGCCAGCGCCCGCTGGCGCACGCCAGCGTCTGCACAGTGCCCCAGCGCACGCCAGCGCGCACGCACAGCGTGATGAAGGATCGTGTTGTTATCTATACGTGGGTTGTGAATAAACGCGCACTAGGGCCTTCGTTTATCCACGATAGGTGTATCTAACAGACGCACTATCGGCCTTCTCCTAGACACTGTGACTTCAAGACGCTCTAATGGCCTTCTCTCCGACACTGTATGTAAACACGCACTAACGGCCTTGTTTAAACACACGTTAAGAACATCAGTTCCCCCTCAAGATTGGCTCACCAATTCAATACTCCATTCAACATATAAAATATGATGAGGTACATGGGGTATTTATAGGTGCATAAATAAATCTAAGCCTAACTATACTAGATCTCCTAAATCTTGCAATAATAGAAATCCTAACACTAGAAAGCAATAAAATCCTACTACTACCCAAAATACTAATGCTTGGCTTACACACCAAGCAATTCTAGAAGCTCCAAGTCTTCCACACGCCTAAAACCACTCGCCGCCTTCCATGCGTCCCCCGCCCTCACGCCTTGCCCTAGTCCTCGAGGACTAGGGCTGCACCGCCTTCGCCCATGTATGTCCTCTCGCCTCGAGGCTTAAGGCCTCGCGCCCCACATGCGCCATTCTTATTCCTTGTAGGACCATGCCTCGAGCCCATATCCACTATTCCTATTCTTACTAGGAATAGGCTCTCGGTTACGTTTCCTGTTCTTCTGAGGATTACTCTAGTAACCGATCTCCCACGCGCATTCCAGCACTTAACTGCTATTCCTATTCCTGCGAGGATTAGTATTCGCGCCTTGCCTATTCCTACGAGGATTAGGCATGCCGCCTCGTTCCTGCATTGTGCCTCCCGCGTGTCGCCGTGCGCCCCGCGCTCGTCGTCCAGCACTCCTATGCCTACGCGGTCTAGGCCATTGCCCGTGTTGTCCCACGCGTCGCTGCCTATCGTCCGCATGTCTCTGCTACCTCCATGCATATTGCGCACGCCCGCCAGTCCTATGCTCGCACGGGTTAGGCTTCGCGTATCCGTCTCGCACTCGCGCGCCTTCGCGCCCTTGTTGGCCTCCTCGCGCGCCTCCTCGCCACCCGCTTGATTGCCGCGCACGCCCGACGTCTTGTCACTGTCATCATAATTGCTCGTGCGCCTATGCGCACTCGCTGTCCATCCGCTGCAGTCCCTCGCGCGCATCAACCACCCAACATCCACCCCCTGCGCGCCACTTCCCCTAATATCCAAGCGCCATGCGCGTCTACGCCAATGCGCGTGTGCGCGCCTTTGTCTACTGCCTTGTACGTGCCACTTCTCATGTGCTCGAGTGCCTCGCATACGAGCTCGCACCCGTCTCTTAGGCCATGCATGCATCGTTTTGGCCCCATTATCAGCCTCATCGGGTCGCCTCGGCTCTTGGCCCTCCTTGTCGTCGGGGGTCAAAACCCACTTACGCATCATTCCCGCCCCCTTTGAGAATGTCCTTGTCCTCAAGGACTCATCCTCGACCATCCAAACATCGGGCACATCATCTCCAATCTCAAGACCCTTGCGCGTATCGCACTCACGGTCCTCATAGACCTCGACATCAACTTTGATGAACGACTCCTCTTCAAGGTATCCTAGAAATTCGAACGAGAACGTAGGTTCCTCGTCGCCTTCGACCAAGCCCTCACTCTTGATGTCGAACACTTTGTCCGCCATGCACGTCTCCTCCAAATAATCTTGCTCCCAAGGGGTTAATTCCCTCTCCAAATTTTTGAGATATTCGAGATCCTCTTGATCCCACTCAACTAATAGCTCGAACAACAAAATCCCCCTTTTTTTTTACTCTAAAAATTCGAAAAAATTCGAACCGAAAAAATAAAACCAAGAGAAATTCGGCCCCTCAACAAAAGGTAATAACCGAACAAAAAATCAAACAAAGGACTAACAAGATGACACTTTTTTTTAAGACTAAATTTCGAAAATTAAAAGGGAAAATTCGAACCAAAAATTCGAATCCCAACAAAAATAAAGAGAAATTCGGCCCCTCAGCCAAAGGCAAACCGAAAAAAGAAAAAAAGATAGGATAAATAAAAACACGATCAGCACCTATCAATGAAAGCACCAATGATGAAAAGCCGTTGATCGGTGTGTTTATCTATACGTTGGGTTGATCGTTGGGCATAGATGGGCCTAAGTCGTCGATCGCGATCATCTCCTCCTTACGCTTGGCCTCCGCTTGTTGCTCTTCCTCAGCGCGTGCCTGCGCGCGCGATCTGCTATGCTGCGCCTGCGTGCGCCCGTGTCTGCGCGCGTGCCTGCGCGCGCCCGACCT